ACATGATTCAAAGGTAAACTCTGGCGCAGACACAATGCGAGTAGGAAGCAGTTTTTGATTGTTTATTGAAAAGTTTTACAGAGTTAAGTTCAGCCTGGCGTGGTGGTTCGGATTACTGCGGCTTCATCTGGAACTGCGCGGAGAGAGATATAAGTTAGATGCAGGCAGGAGGATCTGAGTTATTTAGAGAAGATGCTGATTCCTTACAGTTCTTGGAGAGCGGAGCAGCTGGAGGGGAGGTTGGATGAGCCCACAGAGATTGAGTCTTTGGCGGAGATGGAGGGCTTCGACCTGAGAGCTCCAGAGGGTGGACAGGCAGGTGAGCAGTCGAGGGAAGGATCCAGGAAGACTGGGAGGAAGACCGGCTTGGAAACAGCAAGGCTTCTAGGAGAGAGAAGGAGGACACGGAGGTAAGCTTAAGTCAAAACTATCTTGTTCAGTCTTAGGAGAGCTAGCAGGTAGGTTACCACTGTGTGGAACTTTAACCGACTGGCGTCCGTCCCAGGGAATCCACTCCTCTAAATACTGCTCCCTGATTGCGTCCAATTGGAACCAGCTGGAGGCTCGTCAGGACTGGAGTCTAAGGAGGAAAAAGTAAGAAAGAACCCTAGCACAGCTCAGCACACAATCCAGTTAGCCCAACAACCTGAGTATTGTTGCTGACCATGTCCATCCCTTCATGACCACAATGGATAATGCGCCATGTCATAAAGCTGGAATCATCTCAGACTGGTTTCTTGAACATGACAATGAGTTCACTGTACTCAAATGGCCTCCACAGTCACCAGATCTCAATCCAATAGAGCATCTTTGGGATGTGGTGGAACGGGAGATTCGCATCATGGATGTGCAGCCGACAAATCTGCAGCAACTGTGTGATGCCATCATGTCAATATGGACCAAACTCCCTGAGGAATGCTTCCAGCACCTTGTTGAATCTATGCCACAAAGAATTGAGGCAGTTCTGAAGGCAAAAGGGGGTCCAACCCGTTACTAGCATGGGGTACCTAATAAAGCGGCCGGTGAGTGTAGATTTGACTAAAATAAGATTCTTCCGGATCAAAATACCTCTTCTAAACCTAACTGTAGTAATATATTTTCATTACAATTACATTTTTGCAGCAGAAACTGAATTTTAGAAAGTAAAAAAATAAAATGATACTAGTAAGAATTAAGTTTTATATATCTAGAAATGTTTACACATTTTAAGTGACCGTTAGATTAAAGGAATAGTACACCCAAAACATGATTAGCCTTCATTTTCTACTCACCCCCATGCTGAACAACACTCTGGAGTACTTTTTTGATATCTCAAATGCATCTGGAGATCTGGGAGGCTTCTTGCTGTCTGCTGACATTCAAATAATGGAGGTCTATGGCGCCCGAGGCAGAAAGGTCCATAAAAGTCCACAAAAAACGTGTCAATATTTATCCATACTGCTCGTCCAATGTATTCCAAGTGTCCTGAGTGGGTAGCATCCAGAATTTACTCGAAACAAAGTCATTTAGAATGTTTTTAGAGCATAAACAGTAGTGTATAGGATTTCCTTAAAGCGCGTTCACGACGCTACGGAAACCGCGGCAGACCAAACCAGATGAAAGTGCGCATTCCGCTCGGCAAAGAACTCATGCTCTTCCTCAACACTGAAGTCCTCAGACATTTTTCTTTCGTTGTTTCTTTCTTTGCACAGGTAAACAGCACATTTCTTCTTCTACGCTTGCATTATTTGTAGAGCAGACGCTGAATGCCTTTCATCTGGTTTGGTCTGCCGGCTTACGTAGCGTCATGAACGCGCCGGCGCGCACTTTCAGGAAATCCTATACACTACTGTTTATGCTCTAAAAACATTCTAAATGACTTCGTTTCGAGTAAATTCTGGATGCTACCCACTCAGGACACTTGGAATACATTGGACGAGCAGTATGGAGGAATATTGACACGTTTTTTGTGGACTTTTATGGACCTTTCTGCCTCGGGCGCCATAGACCTCCATTATTTGAATGTCAGCAGACAGCAAGAAGCCTCCCAGATCTCCAGATGCATTTGAGATATCAAAAAAGTACTCCAGAGTGTTGTTCAGCATGGGGGTGAGTAGAAAATGAAGGCTAATCATGTTTCGGGTGTACTATTCCTTTAACTGAATATTTATATCTGAAATATATTTCTTCACAGTTAAAACCAGTAATAATGGGAATATGGAGATCTAAAATAAATTTCTAGACATCCAGAATGTTTATTCTAGATATGGAAAATGTAACTTTGTTTGAAATGGTCATTTAGACAAAGAAAAAAATGTTTTTTTCAGATATCAGGAACACATATTCAGTAAAACTAGTACATATCAAAATGGCTTGCCATGACTGCACTAATATCACGGGTTTATTTCTTGAATGGTAGTAGATCAATGTATCTATTTAGGTGAAATCACCTGTCAGCAGGTGAAGTTGATAAAAAAATAAAAATCATTGTTCTAACCGGTAGGACCTGGTCATCATCTCACGGGTTCCTCCTCACTTTGATCTTGTCTTCGTTCATACAGTCAGTATTAAGGCCCGGTCTTATTCCTCTCACTTGGCTCTGAGAACGCTACAGTGAGTTCCCTCCACAGTGAAGTCCACTCAACAAGGGAAATGCTAGTGAAGAGTTGCTTCCTAAGAAATGGGACACCACTAGTTGCAAAATTACACGCCAGTCCTGTAGATGGCGGTAAATAATTGCCCGTACACATCAGTGACGCGTTGACCTACGTCAGGCGTAATCACAGCGTGAGTCACAACCTTAGCTAAATGAATTCTGGGAAGCCGCTACGTTCCAAGTCAGCTCTACACCCCCCTCAGTCTGAAGGGATCATTTTAAGGGTTGAAGGGCACTTCCCCCTCGCTCTTTAAATTATAGGGACACACTACCCTTACATATGAATGTGCAAGACTAAGTGCCAGGGCCCAAACCGATTTAAAGTGATAGAAATGGGACAGGGCCTAAGTGTCTGTTTGCTTCTGATGTCATCATCCCAATTAATGGCTGTTATTAGCGGCTATCAGTCCCATAGAATGGCTTCAGATTGTTCCAGTAGGCTCAGTAGGTTGTTATCATCGAGTGAATCCTAATCCTAACCCTAAAGTAATTCCTTTTCACTGTGGAATTAATGAATCTATTTATGTGTGATCTGAAGATAATTTCGGTAGTTCTACAGGAGCTGTATAAATAAATAAATTAATAGAATGATCCGCATCTCACTCATATTAAACAAACTAAAAACAAGTCTTGTCTCATGTCTTGTAGAAACCTCGTCAAACGGACATGCGATTTTAAAGTTTGTTTTTAAAACCTAATGTGTCCATCAGACCTAGTGAATGATATATATATATATATATATATATATATATATATATATATATATATATATATATATATATATATATATATATATATATATATATATACGAACAAATAAGAGTAAATCAGGAGCTAAAGCAGCATGATTGGCTGTAAGGAGAGCAGAGAGACAGGAAACTCTGAGTTCACTAACCTGCTGCTGACCAGGTTAGCTCTGGGAGGATGTTACCATGGCAACAGAAACAAAGGATGGGGGAACTCTCTGTGGGAAACGGAAAAGTCAGTTTCCCTGATTTCAGGTTTATAAAATTAGATTTTTCTTGCTTGGTGAAACAGAGCCCAGATGTTCTACCAGCTCTCTGTGAGCAGACTGTAGCTCCACCTGGAGGCCACATGTTGTACCTGCAGCAGTTTCAGTTTCAGCCATCTGTCCTGATTTCTTTAAATTTTCTGTTTTTATGCTTTTTTTCTGTTTTGATTTCTCATCTTGTTTCCATTCAGTGAGTTGATCTGCTGTCTGAGCTGATCTGTGTCAAACCGTCACAGCAGGTAAGCTGTGTTCGCTCAGACCACTGACACTACTCCATCCTCCCCCATCCTCACCCTCTGTCCTCTCCCTGCAGGTCGCGTGGGTGTGTGGAGGGACGTCTTCACTGTGTCCATGAACGAAACCTTTGATGCTTATTACAGACAGAAGATGGCGAAATCCGACCTCAGCTTTGACTTTTGCCTGTGACCCCCCCCCACTGACCCCCATCTCAAAGACATTAATGCTTCTCCTCCATCAGCTCGGCCTGACAGCAGGAGGACCTTTAGAAAAGGTTTCCCATGATGCATTCTGTTCCCTTCCAGCCTGATTGATCCGCTGTTCCCTCTGCATGGCGGCCGCCGTAGGCTCGTCCCCGCAGGGCGTCAGGGTAGCAGCGTCCTGCTGTAGAAGGCAGAGGAGCAGCAGCTGTTCAGGTCACACCGTCGCTCCTCAGATTAACATTAGAAGCTTCTTCAGTATCTCTCCAGTCTTTGCTTTGGTGATGTTATACGTATGGATGTCATCGACCTGAACCTTCACTGATTCCTTCGTCACTCAGACCCCCAGCTAACCGGCGTTAGCTGAAGCGTAGGTCAGAGAAACGGCTCCCAGTTCCGTTGGTCGACTGTATACCTAGACAACTACCTTATCTTTAAATGGCTCCTCCTCTGATAGACGTCATCTTAGAGCATTGCTGCACTGAGGTCAGACTGACAGTGGGACGCAGCCCACAGCATGACGACTCCTCCACCGAACTTTGGCAGGTGGTGTTCGGCTGATCCTTCATGGCTGCAGCCAACATCCTGTTGCTCCGCCCATAATCAGGCTGTCCATCAGATTCACTGCCAAAAAGAAAATCCCGCTGACCAACTATCCTTCTCCAGCATTCAGTCACACATCTGCTCAGAGATCATTGATGGTTTGGAGGAAATATTATGACATTAAACTGTGTTTTTCATCCAGCAGCTTTTTACTGTAAGGTTTAATCATCAGACCCATGATGAGCCACAGACAGCTGTTCATTGCTCACAGCAGGACTGGCCTTCTAGAAACGTTTGAGCTGGGAGGAGCAGCACTGCGCCGGCATAGCCCCACCCACTACTTCAACCTTTAACATTTTGTCTAATTAAATCCAGCTTTATTCGTACAGCACCTTCTAAACAATGCATCACATTGACCAAAGCAACCCAAGCAGGTTCTGTTTTAGAACAATCTCCAAGCTTTGAACATCTCCCTACATGAAGGTCCAGGGTGGGAGGAGCTGCAGAGATCCACAGCTCAGGTGGAGGATCTATCTGCAGCTCTGAGATCTGATCTTGTCAATCAAAGCTGAAGGCAGAGAGAAGGTGGCGTCCCGTGAGGACGAGCAGACATGAGGAATAAGCTGCATCACAGCTGGAATCTGGGCTGGAGCTTCATCTGCAGGAGATGGACCCTAAACATGAAGCCAGTAGAACCAAAGCGGTGTTAGAATGGCCTAGTCAAAGCCCAGACCTACCTCTACATTCCCATTAAATCAGAACTCCATCCAACATTAGGATGCTGAATGTGATGTTCTATGTTAGATGGATCTATCTGTGAAATTCTACTTCTCTCCTTTTGGCTCTGAAGCTCCATAAAGACTCAGTTTAGTTTCTATTACAGCTCCTCTGTCTCCCAGGTGGCCTGGTTTATGCTAATCCTTTATGTGAACCCATGAGGGACGAGTCGGTCTTATTGAATCTCATAAAGAGGATCCGAACACGAAGAAGATCAACGTTAAAACGTCTCATCTCTGGCTGCACAGGTGTTTTCCATGTTCTTCGGTCGCCCTGTTACCCAACAGTCTTTAGGTGTTATCTGTGTCTTTAGGCCGTCTGATCAAATCTTACTGATCTGTATTTAATCCACGATGAAAGATGTAAGCAGAAATTCAGAGGAAAACAGTTTTTACCAAGAACTTCCCATCGGTTGAACAGACTTGTCTGTTTTAACTAAAAGCTGCCAGACTGTAAGAGCTGAACGCAGGAATAAAGCTCACCTGTTCAAACTCACCTCTGGGTCCAGTTTCTGCTACATATTGGAATAAAGCCAACTTTGTAAATAGAAAACTGGCTTCTGTTGTCTATTTGTGTTTATTTATGTCATTTAATATTTAATTTGATGAGGACCTATTTAATTTGATTAGGACCTTGATTTGTTGTTCTGGTGAAACACCCAGCTGGCAGGCTCTGCCTTCCTCTAAATAACATCCCTTCAAAATATATTCATTTATTAACAAAATCATTCCACACCAACTAAAATATATTTCAGTTTAAAATTCTTTACTGGATTACTGAAACTAAACTAACCAAATAGCTACTATGTACAAAGAAGGCAAAAAAAATCTCTAATATGAAAGAAGGAAATTCTAGAAACCTCTTTGATATGGGATTTAAATGACAGGTCCTGATCAAAAACAACACCAAGATTTTTTACTTTATTATCTGAAATCAGTTTAATCCCATCCAAATGAAGTGACTGACTAATCAGCTTCTTTTTCAGAGACTCTGGTCCAAAGACTATAACTTCTGTTTTGACTGCATTCAGAAGCAGAAAGTTAAGAGTCATCCAGGTTTTTATGTCTTCAGACATGCCTGTAATCTATGTAATGGGTTAGCTTCATCTGGATTATAGACAGATATAGCTGGGTATCATCAGCATAACAGTGGAAATTAATCCCATGCTGTCTATTAACTCTACCAATTGGAAGCATGTATAAAGTAAAGAGAATTGGTCCTAGCACTGATCCCTGTGGTACTCCACAGGTAACCTTGGAGCATGATGAAGATTTATCATTAACATGAACAAACTGAATTCGATCAGATAGATAAGATTTAAACCAGTCTAGTGCTGTTCCTTTAATTCCAACAAAATATTCAAGTCTTTCTAAAAGAATATTATGATCAACTGTATCAAATGCAGCACTGAGATCCAACAGGACGAGCAGAGATACAAGTCCATTATCTGAGGCCATGAGAATATCATTAGTGACTTTCACCAGAGCTGTTTCAGTGCTATGATGAGCTCTAAAGCCAGACTGAAACTCTTCAAAATCTCCCACATCCCTGGAACTGTCTCCAGGGTCAGACTAAGGGGGAAGAGGTGCTGTAGATCCAGGACCTGCTGACACCATTAGGACCTGCTGGAGGTGGTTTTCCAGCCTCTTCCTCTATACCTCCTTGCTTCCTCTGATCTTCACCTTAAGTTGCTTCTCTAAACTCCTCATTAATTCCCCGTCTTCCTTCTCAAAGGCCTTTTTTTCTGGTTTCGCTCTTCGTTTAGATCACTGCTGATCCAGGCTTTATTACTGCAGTCGCATCTCACTGTTGCTGTGGGACAGTATGATCTTAAAATGTTTGGCAAATGCTGAATATAAGTGTTAAATCTATGTCAATATTCTATAATATCTAAATCTATATCTAGGTCGAAGGTCTTCAACTGGGGATTTGCGACCCCTAGGGGATGAACATAGGTACTGCATGGGGGTCGCTAAATACTTTTTTTTTATTCCCTCCTGCATTTTTTCCACTAATTGAAATGTCTTTAAATCCACTTTAACATGAATTCAACAGACTGTAGTAAACAGATAAATGGAGGCAGAAGATGTCTTTCAGGCATCAATGCTCACATTCAGAGACACACAGGAGCTCTTTCAAGCTGGGCACCGTTTCATTCACAACACCTGTCCTATCAACCAGGAATCAGAAATACTTTAATAATCCCAGGGAGGGATTACTTTAGTTACATTACTCCATCTGTAATAGAGTGACTATAGCACCAATTTGATAGAACACTATTTCATACAGTATATATAATTGGGGTCCCCGCTCCATCTCGCCATCAGTTTGGGGTCCTTGGCCTGGAAAATGTTGAGGAGCCCTGAATTAGATCATAAATATAGATATAAATGATAAAATAATAACTAAATCTTAGCATTCTTAAAAATCCTTTTTTCATCAGTCTGCAATTTTAGTTTTTTTTTTTTATTACAACAAACTAAACATCAATCACTCTCAGACACTAATACCAAGTTCCTGTTCAATCAGTGCTTTAAGCAAACAATATAAAGGCCAGTCAGCGTTTCTTTAACATACTGCTCCATATTTGGTGGTTGGACGGTTTTAAATTTCATGCAGTTATTGGACCTCAGGCGACAATATTTTCCTTTTCTTATTTTAAATTTCTCTTCCTTTTCTGCTACTGTGGGCCTTTATGAACGCCAGATTGTTCTTCACTTCAGTAAATGACCCTGCCAATGATGGCGGTCCGCCTGTGTGTAAATGAGGTGCAGATCTGCATAATTACCGCCCCGATGATTCCATATAAGGCTATGAGTTCCTCTATGAATGAACTGTTCATTCACAGGAATGTCTCTGAACTTTAGAGGGTGAAGGATCTGCTGACTGAGAGCTGAGCTGGAGGAGAATTAGTTTCTACCTGAGAGACGATCACAGACAGGAGGAAGATGGAGGATGAGGCGTTTCATCCTGAATCAATCTATGACCCATTTAGGAATTCATTTTTCAGTATAAATGGTTCTTGTATGAGAACCTTGTATGTTTTTGCTTTTTTATGCAAGATACATATATCTATGAACACTTTTGTTTTAATATGACTTCACATTTTCAAATATAGGTGTAAAAAAGAAACGTTTTCCTTTCAGTTCTACACTCTGAAATAAGGTTTTCCAAACAATATGTAGTCTGAACTACCTGCATAGAACCATGGATGCTCTCCATCCCTTTAAAGCTCATTCGTTTTCAAACACTCTTGATTCCAGATATTGGGGTCAATATTGACAAAGTTCTTGGTTCTTAGTGTCATATCTTTTAGCATTGTTTTTTAAATCTTCTTTAAGAAAATTATGCTGTGTCAGAGAAACTGTAATGAAGGACTTAAAGTATTACTTTCAATATCTGCCCACTAGGGGGCGTGCTTTATATCAAACTATACCCTATGGATCTGCTGCCCAGTGAAGAAGCCCAGTTTATAAGAAAGTTTTAACTAAGTTAAGGATTTATTTTAATATAGATTCCTGGAGGATCAGGTACCTTTATAGAAATGATTCAGTCAGTCGATTGCATCTAGTCCTTTACTTGCAGGGCCTTCCATCACAGTGAGCATGCAGGACCTTCCATCACAGTGAGCATGCAGGACCTTCCATCACAGTGAGCATGCAGGACCTTCCATCACACTGATTATCCATGAAGGAAAAATCTCCAGCAGAACCAGAACCAGGCCCAGTGTGACGGCCCCACAAACAGCCCTCCATGTACACCCCCCCCCCCCCCCCCCCCCTCAGTCCAGGGGATCCCAGGTGTTGTAAGAGCCTTATTCTGACCCGTTAGAAGGACATTACGTCACAGCTGGATCAGGCTTTTATCCACTTTCATCCATCAATCCAGGCCTCCATTGGTTCATAGATTTGATTCCACTGATGGTTTTTCTGTGATTTTGTTCTCAGCACATCCAGCTTTGTACAAAACATTTAACTATTCAATAAGAGTCTTTCAATCATTCAGATCCAGGATGAGTTATTGGATGTTCCCTTTATTCTATTTCTGTATATCAGCATCAGTGTGCAGCTGGATCATCAGGGTGAAAAGTGAAGTAGTGTTGCTTTAACATGTGGTGTTTTCTACATATTATTTCATAAAGTCACTGATTACTGGGAAAAATGGCATAGATATATGGCAACTAGAAGCGGGTCTGCAGTCTTTGAGGCTGCTGCTTCTTCCAGGCCAGTCCCAGCTTTATGTTTTCCAAAGGGGGGGTCAGTCTAGATCAGGAGGATCTACCAGCTGCAGATCTTCTCCTGACAAACACCTCAGAACATAAATCTGAGGCGCCTCTGCGCGTTCCCGTTCCCTCTAGGAGCGCGCATGTGGCGGGCACGCGCACTCCCGTGGATCTCCCAGTCAGACATGGCGGCGGACCCACAGCCGGACTGGCTCAGCTGTCTCCCTCCTTCCTGGAGTTACGGGGTGACCCGGGATGGACGCATCTTCTTCTTGAGGTAAATATGGCGCAGGCGCTGGGACGCGGCGTGTCCTCCGTGTCCTCCTGTCCTCCGTGTCCTCCTGTCCGCCTCTCGTCTCACATTTTTTTCTTCCTCTAGCGAAGAAGCGCAGAGTTCAACCTGGCTTCATCCCGCTACCGGAGAGGCGGTGACCACGGGCCACAGGAAGACCCCCGGTAAGCCGCCGCTGCTGCAGCCGAGGAAGGGCCGAGGAGGGGCGGAACGATCCGGTGGAGGAGGAGGGGGGGGGTCCTCTGCAGCAGAGCAACAACCCCCCCCCCCCCTCTGTGGGAGACACACTCCTTCAAAGTTCCGTCTCCTGGTCCTCACATCTGTCCATCGGTCCACATCTGGATCAGCTGATCCGGTCCGAACAGAACCTCCCGGATCCTGGATCCTCTGGTTCTGATGCAGCAGATGTGTCTGACCCTCTGCTGTCCTGGCTGGTTCTGTTCTAGCTAGTTCTGTTACGGCTGGTTCTTTTCTGACCTGTTTTATTCTGACTGGTTCTGTTGTGACTGGTTCTATTCTGATTCTGTTCTGACTGGTTCTGTTCTGACTGGTTCTATTCTGACTGGTTCTTTCCTGACTGGTTCTGTCCAGACTGGTTCTGTTCTGTGGTTCTGCTCCGACTGGTTCTTTCCTGACTGGTTCTGTTGTGACTGGTTCTATTCTGGCTGGTTCTGTCCTTTCTGGTTTGGCTCTGTTGTTCTGTTCCGACTGTTCTGCTCTGACTGGTTCTGCTCTGGCTGGTTCTGTTCTGACTTATTTTGTTCTGACTGGTTCTGTTCTAGCTAGTTCTCTTCTGACTGGTTCTATTCTGACTGGTTCTGTTGTGACTGGTTCTATTCTGGCTGGTTCTGTTGGGACTGTTTCTGCCCTGACTGGTTCTGTTCTAGCTAGTTCTGTTCTGGCTGGTTCTGTTCTGACATGTTTTATTCTGACTGGTTCTGTTGTGACTGGTTCTGTTCTGATTCTGTCCTGACTGGCTAGATTGTGGCTGGTTCTCTTCTGACTGGATCCATTCTGACTGGTTCTGTATTAACTGGATCTGTTCTGACTGGTTCCATTCTGACTGGTTCTGTATTAACTGGATCTGTTCTGGCTGGTTCTGTTCTGGCCGATTCTATTCCAACTGTTTCTGTTCTGACTGGCTCTGTTTTGACTGGATCTGTTCTGACTGGCTCTGTTCTGACTGGTTCTGTTGTGACTGGTTCTGTTGTGACTGGTTCTATTCTGGCTGGTTCTGTTGGGACTGTTTCTGCCCTGACTGGTTCTGTTCTGACTGGTTCTGTTGTGACTGGTTCTATTCTGGCTGGTTCTGTTGGGACTGTTTCTGCCCTGACTGGTTCTGTTCTGACTGGTTCTGTTGTGACTGGTTCTATTCTGGCTGGTTCTGTTGGGACTGTTTCTGCCCTGACTGGTTCTGTTCTAGCTAGTTCTGTTCTGGCTGGTTCTGTTCTGACATGTTTTATTCTGACTGGTTCTGTTGTGACTGGTTCTGTTCTGATTCTGTCCTGACTGGCTAGATTGTGGCTGGTTCTCTTCTGACTGGTTCCATTCTGACTGGTTCTGTATTAACTGGATCTGTTCTGGCTGGTTCTGTTCTGACTGGTTCTGTATTAACTGGATCTCTTCTGACTGGCTCTGTTCTGACTGGCTCTGTTTTGACTGGATCTGTTCTGACTGGCTCTGTTCTGACTGGTTCTGTTTTGACTGGATCTGTTCTGACTGGATCTGTTCTGACTGGATCTGTTCTTACTGGTTCTGTTCTGACTGGTTCTGTTCTGACTGGTTCTGTTCTGTGTTTCTGTGTTCTCAGATCTACCAACAGGATGGGAGGAGGGATACACATTCGAAGGAGCTCGCTGCTTCATCAAGTGAGTGGTTCTGGGTGGGGGTTCCTACAGGTTCATCTAGACCTGATTTCTGCCTGTATCCCTCGGTTTTTCCTGTCCTTCTTAAACTTTTCTGGTTCCACACTGGGTCAGAACTTTATGGAGCAGAACCTCATGTGGAAGAAGAACGTTTGACCCGTGTTTGCTCTGATAGCTGTTCTGCTTCTGGTCTCAGAGATCCATGGATCAGTCAGGAAGCAGGGAGAACCTGAACCCAGAGGGCTGATGGAACAGCTTAGAGTGGCCTAGTTAAAGTTCAGATCCACTCACTTCAGATCAGTTTATTTCTAGAGCTCCAATTCACACCATGTCATCTCAGGTCACTTTATAGATCTAGATCAACTAGATCAGTCAGATTGATTCAAAGTTTTCTATCTAAGGAAAACCAGCTGATTGCATCGACTCATTGACTCTTCAGCAATCCCTCACACTAAGCATGCTTGTAGCGACAGTGGAGAGGAAAAACTCCCTTTGAACAGGAAGAAACCTCCAGCAGAACCAGGCTCAGTGTGAGCGGCCATCTGCTGAGGCAGACTGGGGTTCAAGGAGACAGAAGCAGACATAGAAATAGAGGCACAGATACAAAAGGCAACTGTCAACCAGCTCCACAGGCGGCTCCATCCAGGAAACACACAGCCAGGCAGACGAGCTCCGAGCCAGCTCCCATGTCAGAGGATGAAGAGAGCACATCCAGTTAGTCACAGTCAGAGAAACAGGACTACACTGGAAAACAGGCCGATCTCCAACATCTATAAACAAAGGTGTTGATGGCAGCAGCACAGCTGATATTTCTCTCCAGGATGGAGTCACAGCCAAACAGGAACAGACCAGATGAAGCTACTATGAGAAAAAGCAGAGAGAGCAGAACGTTAGAGATTGAACTAACAGATGCTGCAGAGTGGGAGAATAGAGATAGAATGAAGCAGAATGATGAAAAAGGGGTCCCTATGTCCTCCAGCAGTCTAAGCCTATAGCAGCAGAACTATAGAGATAGCTCAGGATAACCTGAGCCACTCTAACTAGAAGCTTTATCAAAAGACTGTCAGAGCTGCTTGGTGCTGGTAGAGATAGAGCTGTTAGACCTGCAGCTGTGGCTTCATCACTGTCATAGATGGATCCAGGGTACCGGGGTTTGGCCCGTCTGTTAGTTCTGGAGCTTAGAACCGGTTCTCCTGGTTCCAGGAGGGCTGAGTGTCAGCTGGTGTCTCTGTGAAGGTTGGGTGGACCTGTCTGGCAGCAGCTGAAGCCCTGCAGCTGTCGGCGCCGTCCACGCCCTCAGCCGGTCCAAACACGCCCCCAGAGCTGCAGCTAGGATTGGTTCCCACGCTGGTTCTGCTGTCAGAGCAGCGGGCCACACATGCAGATCTAATAGAGCAGTTCTATTAATAACCTGAGCCGCTGCTCACCGGGTCAGCTAGATGTTCGGACCTGGACCTCTACGGCCCGTTAGCTGAAGAAGAACCCAGATCTTCTCCACCCAGAAGTTCTTCAGTTTCAGCAGCAGCTGCTTCAAAGTAAATAGAATAGAATAGAATCTGACTCTATTATCATTCCACTGTCACCAGTACAGAGCTATGAAATTCCCTCTCTGCATTTAACCCCTCCCCTCGGGGAGCAGTGGGCGGCCATTAGCGGAGCCCAGGGAGCAGTGTGGGGTGGAGGGTCTTGCTCAGGGACCCAGAATGGAGGCTGTGGGAGTGGGACTCAGAAGCATCGGCCCCGGTACTAAATGGAAAACTAAATATTAGATTGACCAACAGTTTGCAACCAAATCTGAATTCCTTATTTGTGTCGGCAACTAAAGATGGTTCTGATTCTGATGGACTGAAGGTGGTTCTGATTCTGACCGACTGAAGGTGGTTCTGAATCTGATCGACTGAAGGTGGTTCTGATTCTGATCGACTGAAGGTGGTTCTGATTCTGATCGACTGAAAGTGGTTCTGAATCTGATCGACTGAAAGTGGTTCTGAATCTGATCGACTGAAAGTGGTTTTGAATCTGATCGACTGAAGGTGGTTCTGAATCTGATGGACTAAAGGTGGTTCTGAATCTGATGGACTGAAGGTGGTTCTGAATCTGATGGACTAAAGGTGGTTCTGAATCTGATGGACTGAAGGTGGTTCTGAATCTGATGGACTAAAGGTGGTTCTGAATCTGATGGACTAAAGGTGGTTCTGAATCTGATCGACTGAAGGTGGTTCTGAATCTGATGGACTGAAAGTGGTTCTGAATCTGATGGACTGAAAGTGGTTCTGAATCTGATGGACTGAAGGTGGTTCTGAATCTGATGGACTAAAGGAGGTTCTGAATCTGATGGACTGAAGGTGGTTCTGAATCTGATGGACTAAAGGTGGTTCTGAATCTGATCGACTGAAGGTGGTTCTGAATCTGATGGACTGAAGGTGGTTCTGAATCTGATGGACTGAAAGTGGTTCTGAATCTGATGGACTGAAAGTGGTTCTGAATCTGATGGACTGAAGGTGGTTCTGAATCTGATGGACTAAAGGTGGTTCTGAATCTGATGGACTGAAGGTGGTTCTGAATCTGATGGACTAAAGGTGGTTCTGAATCTGATGGACTAAAGGTGGTTCTGAATCTGATGGACTGAAGGTGGTTCTGAATCTGATGGACTGAAAGTGGTTCTGAATCTGATGGACTGAAGGTGGTTCTGAATCTGATGGACTAAAGGTGGTTCTGAATCTGATGGACTAAAGGTGGTTCTGAATCTGATGGACTGAAGGTGGTTCTGAATCTGATGGACTAAAGGTGGTTCTGAATCTGATGGACTAAAGGTGGTTCTGAATCTGATCGACTGAAGGTGGTTCTGAATCTGATGGACTGAAAGTGGTTCTGAATCTGATGGACTGAAAGTGGTTCTGAATCTGATGGACTGAAGGTGGTTCTGAATCTGATGGACTAAAGGAGGTTCTGAATCTGATGGACTGAAGGTGGTTCTGAATCTGATGGACTAAAGGTGGTTCTGAATCTGATCGACTGAAGGTGGTTCTGAATCTGATGGACTGAAGGTGGTTCTGAATCTGATGGACTGAAAGTGGTTCTGAATCTGATGGACTGAAAGTGGTTCTGAATCTGATGGACTGAAGGTGGTTCTGAATCTGATGGACTAAAGGTGGTTCTGAATCTGATGGACTGAAGGTGGTTCTGAATCTGATGGACTAAAGGTGGTTCTGAATCTGATGGACTGAAGGTGGTTCTGAATCTGATGGACTGAAGGTGGTTCTGAATCTGATGGACTGAAAGTGGTTCTGAATCTGATGGACTGAAGGTGGTTCTGAATCTGATGGACTAAAGGTGGTTCTGAATCTGATCGACTGAAGGTGGTTCTGAATCTGATGGACTAAAGGTGGTTCTGAATCTGATGGACTAAAGGTGGTTCTGAATCTGATGGACTGAAGGTGGTTCTGAATCTGATGGACTGAAAGTGGTTCTGAATCTGATGGACTGAAGGTGGTTCTGAATCTGATGGACTAAAGGTGGTTCTGAATCTGATGGACTGAAGGTGGTTCTGAATCTGATGGACTAAAGGTGGTTCTGAATCTGATGGACTGAAAGTGGTTCTGAATCTGATGGACTGAAGGTGGTTCTGAATCTGATGGACTGAAAGTGGTTCTGAATCTGATGGACTAAAGGTGGTTCTGAATCTGATGGACTGAAGGTGGTTCTGAATCTGATGGACTAAAGGTGGTTCTGAATCTGATGGACTAAAGGTGGTTCTGAATCTGATGGACTAAAGGTGGTTCTGAATCTGATGGACTGAAGGTGGTTCTGAATCTGATCGACTGAAGGTGGTTCTGAATCTGATGGACTAAAGGTGGTTCTGAATCTGATGGACTAAAGGTGGTTCTGAATCTGATGGACTGAAGGTGGTTCTGAATCTGATGGACTGAAAGTGGTTCTGAATCTGATGGACTGAAGGTGGTTCTGAATCTGATCGACTGAAGGTGGTTCTGAATCTGATGGACTGAAGATGGTTCTGATTCTGATCGACTGAAGGTGGTTCTGAATCTGATCGACTGAAAGTGGTTTTGAATCTGATCGACTGAAGGTGGTTCTGAATCTGATGGACTAAAGGTGGTTCTGAATCTGATGGACTGAAGGTGGTTCTGATTCTGATCGACTGAAAGTGGTTTTGAATCTGATCGACTGAAGGTGGTTCTGAATCTGATGGACTAAAGGTGGTTCTGATTCTGATCGACTGAAAGTGGTTTTGAATCTGATCGACTAAAGGTGGTTCTGAATCTGATCGACTAAAGGTGGTTCTGAATCTGATCGACTAAAGGTGGTTCTGAATCTGATCGGCTAAAGGTGGTTCTGAATCTGATCGACTGAAAGTGGTTCTGAATCTGATCGACTAAAGGTGGTTCTGAATCTGATCGACTAAAGGTGGTTCTGAATCTGATCGGCTAAAGGTGGTTCTGAATCTGATCGACTGAAAGTGGTTCTGAATCTGATCGACTAAAGGTGGTTCTGAATCTGATCGACTAAAGGTGGTTCTGAATCTGATCGACTAAAGGTGGTTCTGAATCTGATCGGCTAAAAGTGGTTCTGAATCTGATCGACTAAAGGTGGTTCTGAATCTGATCGGCTAAAGGTGGTTCTGAATCTGATCGACTAAAGGTGGTTCTGAATCTGATCGACTGAAAGTGGTTCTGATTCTGATCGACTGAAAGTGGTTCTGAATCTGATCGGCTAAAGGTGGTTCTGAATCTGATCGGCTAAAAGTGGTTCTGAATCTGATCGACTAAAGGTGGTTCTGAATCTGATCGACTGAAAGTGGTTCTGATTCTGATCGACTGAAAGTGGTTCTGAATCTGATCGAGTAAAGGTGGTTCTGAATCTGATCGACTGAAAGTGGTTCTGATTCTGATCGACTGAAAGTGGTTCTGAATCTGATCGACTAAAGGTGGTTCTGAATCTGATCGACTGAAAGTGGTTCTGAATCTGATCGACTGAAGGTGGTTCTGAATCTGATCGACTGAAAGTGGTTCTGAATCTGATCGACTGAAAGTGGTTCTGAATCTGATGGACTGAAAGTGGTTCTGATTCTGATCGACTGAAAGTGGTTCTGAATCTGATCGACTGAAAGTGGTTCTGAATCTGATCGACTGAAGGTGGTTCTGAATCTGATCGACTGAAAGTGGTTCTGAATCTGATCGACTGAAAGTGGTTCTGAATCTGATCGACTGAAAGTGGTTCTGAATCTGATCGACTGAAAGTGGTTCTGCTGGCCCACAGTTTGGAGGAAATGTTACCAGGAAACAATACCTACAGAATACATCAGTCTGTCCCTCCGTCTGTTCGCCTGTCCATCCCTCCGTCAGTCCGTCCCTCCGTCTGTCCGTCCCTCCGTCTGTCCGTCCCTCCGTCTGTTCTTCCCTCCGTCATTCCGTTCCTCCGTCAGTCCGTCCGTCCCTCCGTCATTCCGTTCCTCCGTCAGTCCATCCCTCAGTCATTCCGTCCCTCCGTCAGTTCGTCCGTCCCTCCGTCATTCCGTTCCTCCGTCAGTCCATCCCTCAGTCATTCCGTCCCTCCGTCAGTTCGTCCGTCCCTCCGTCATTCCGTTCCTCCGTCAGTCCATCCCTCAGTCATTCCGTCCCTCCGTCAGTTCGTCCGTCCCTCCGTCATTCCGTTCCTCCATCAGTCCGTCCGTCCGTCGGTCCCTCCGTCTGTCCCTCCGTCAGTCCTTCTGTCAGTTGGTCCTTCCTTCATTCCGTCCCTCTGTCAGTTCGTCCGTCCCTCCGTCATTCCGTTCCTCCATCAGTCCGTCCGTCCCTCCGTCAGTCCGTCCGTTCCTCCGTCAGTCCGTCCGTCCCTCCGTCATTCTGTTCCTCCGTCAGTCCATCCCTCAGTCATTCCGTCCCTCCGTCAGTTCGTCCGTCCCTCCGTCATTCCGTTCCTCCGTCAGTTCGTCCGTCCCTCCGTCATTCCGTTCCTCCGTCAGTTCGTCCGTCCCTCCGTCATTCCGTTCCTCCGTCAGTCCATCCCTCAGTCATTCCGTCCCTCCGTCTGTTCTTCCCTCCGTCATTCCGTCCCTCCGTAAGTTCGTCCGTCCCTCCGTCATTCCGTTCCTCCATCAGTCCGTCCGTCCGTCGGTCCCTCCGTCTGTCCCTCCGTCAGTCCTTCTGTCAGTTGGTCCTTCCTCATTCCGTCCCTCTGTCAGTTCGTCCGTCCCTCCGTCATTCCGTTCCTCCATCAGTCCGTCCGTCCCTCCGTCAGTCCGTCCGTTCCTCCGTCAGTCCGTCTGTCCCTCCGTCATTCCGTCCCTGCGTTAGTTCGTCCGTCATTCCGTCCGTCCCTCCGTCATTCCGTCCGTCCCTCCGTCATTCCATTCCTCCGTCAGTCCGTCCATCTGTCGGTCCCTCCGTCAGTTGGTCCTTCCGTCAGTTGGTCCTTCCGTCAGTCCATCCCTCCGTTACTCGGTCTCTGTCAGTCCTTCTGTCTATCCGTCCCTCCGTCTGTCCGTCCATCTATCCGTCCGTCTGTCTGTCCATCCGTCCCTCCGTGAGTCCGTCCATCTGTCCCTCCGTCTGTCCGTCCATCTGTCCCTCCGTCTGTCCGTCCATCTGTTCATCTGTCTGTCCGTCCGTCTGTCCCTCCGTCTGTCCGTCCCTCCATCTGTCAGTCCCTTCGTCTGTCCGTCCCTCCCTCCGTCCGTCCCTCCGTCTGTCCGTCCCTCCCTCCCTCCGTCTGTCCGTCCCTCCCTCCGTCCGTCAGTCCCTCCCTCCGTCCGTCCCTCCCTCCGTCCGTCAGTCCCTCCCTCCGTCCGTCCCTCCCTCCGTCTGTCCGTCCCTCCGTCTGTCCGTCCCTCCCTCCCTCCGTCCGTCCGTCCGTCCGTCCATCCATCCCTCCATCAGTCCCTCCCTCCGTCTGTCCGTCCGTCCCTCAGCATAGAGTCCAGGCTCTCTGGCCTCCCTGAAGCCCTCCCTGCCTGGTAGGTCAGCAGGTGACCTTCAGCAGGTGGATCAGTCACAGAGGAACCAGATAGAACCAGAGCAGCAGGAGCTGCCTCCTCAGAGACAAGCTGCAGACGTGTGTAGAAGGAAAGGGACGGGCTGAAGGGGGGCGGGTTCAGCATCATGTCTGACATTCAGCTGACCTTTGACCTTTGATCATTAGGCTACTAACAGGCTGGGCCTTGTTGTCATTGAGCTGTAAGCTCATAGGGATGGAAACGGTTGATCGGTATTCAGAGCCCCGTTTGGCGGTGGAGCCTCACTGTCTGCAAACCACAGATGAATAAAACATCAATCTCAGACGGAGAGACGGATAAAACCAAAGCAGCCTGGAAAACCTAGAAATTACTGCATAGACAGGCAGCAGAGGTCACGTCTGTCCTGCATCCAGTTTCATGCCGTTGATCCTTTCTCAGTCTGTCTGTGCTTCCCCTGGAAGTCCTCGCC